AGACACTAGAGAAGAGAGGGATTTCCCCTTCTCAAAGGAAGTAAGACCAGATGTTGATGGCTCATCGATGAGGACACGTCACACCTCAGAACGATGGCAAAGGTGAGAATCTGCAAGGAAGGACCCTTCTGGACCAGCTCTGCCAGGGGTGGATAACAGCCCAGAGGGCCAGAAGAGGGGGGAATAACCAGCAAAGCAGCCCTCGAAGGAAGAGACAAAACCGAAGTGGGGAAGGGCTGCTGTGGCCGGGGCACGGCAGAGAGAAACCAAAAGATGGGATTTTGATCTCCAGCACTTCCCATTGATCTTCTCTTAGCGTCCCCATCTCTATTACCCATCTTTTATTGCATGCTGTCTACTTTTCCCATTAGAGTCCATATCGTATTAATCACAGTTATTTTAAATACCCCCTCTGCTAATTTCTACAATTCTGTCATATCTGAACCTGTTTCTAACAGCTGCTTTGTCTCTTCAGCGTGTCTTTTTGTTGTTGCCTTTGACACGTCTTGCATATTTTTTAAAGCAAGATGTTGTGTTAAGTAATTTGAGGTAAACACGACTTTAGCATGAGAATTTATGGTAATATGGCTAGGAAGGGAACTGTGTTTGATGTTTGCTGTAGATACAGGTGGCAGAAGCTTCAAACTCCTCTAGCATCTAGTTTTCGCCTTCCCTCCGTATTTTGGGCTTCCCCAAGTATACGAGCCTGTATGTCATATGTCACAGCTCTTTCAGCGGTAGTCCACTGTTCTCTCCTGGAGGCCCTGCTGGTGTGGGGTAAGGGCCGGGAAGGGGAGCATTGTAAGCTAATGAAATCTCTGAACCCTGGGGCTGTGGCCCTCACAACTGCTTCTCCAGTGGCCAGCTTTTCCTTCTGCCTCCTGTTCCCTTCCCTGCCTACAGCATCCTCGACCTACCTCTGTGCGGTTCTGATCCCTGCTGGGCCTGGTTTTCTCCCCCCAGAGGGGAGACAGGAAGGCCTGAGGGGCTGGAACTGGAGAATGCCCATTCCCTTCCTGGGATAAGGCTCTGGCACAGTCTCCTTCCTCCGGAGAGTAGGTCTTTGTTATGAAGAAGGCTCTGGGTGAATTTTATAAGGGTTACTATTCCTCCCAGAGACCTGAGCAGAGTTGGAGCAGAATATAGGGGCTTCCCTCTGAGCTGGTTTGAAGAGTGGCTTCATCAGGGAAAAACAAGGTTCCGATTAATAGGAAGAGGGGAGAGGATTGTTTTACAAAAGGAGAATAGATTCAGAGATGCTGCATGGAAACAGCAAGAAGGTGCAACGGTGGAGAGACAGGCTACGGAGGGGCAGGGCTGGAGTGCTTGGGACGAGAGGGCAGGGACAGGTCCCTGGGGCGGGGCTTGTCCACCTGAGCTCCATCAGCCCCTGCACAGTACCCTGGGTTCTCCCTCCCCTAATTTTTCCACCACGGCTTCCTGAGTTCTTGTCATCAGTCAGCTCCTCATCCTTGACATCCTCATGGGACTTCCTCTGTCTGCACTCGGCTTTCCCCAGGGAACTCCACCCCTCACCGCCCTCCTGCATCTCCCACTCCTTCCAGCCATCTCAGGCTCCCTCTGAGAGAGGGCCGCACCTTGCAGCTGCCCCCACCACCACGTCACCATCTCTCCTTTCTGGAAGTCCACATCACCCACGTGTACCACTCTCTCCTCCGGTTCTCACTGTCATCCACCAAGACAAGGACACGTGCTCACCTTGCCTTGACGATTTCAGTGCCTGCCTCACCATCTGCCTACCTGACCTCCATCCAGTTTTAATTCTCCCATAAAGATAATCAACATCCATGTGGACAAGTCATTTACCAACACAATTCCTTCTCCTCCACCAATGGCACATTAATCTCCCCTCCCTTTCAGCTGCTAGAGATATAGCCATATCTCCAACCTGCAGCTGAGGTCAGAGTTACATCAGGACCCCTCCCCAGAGCCACTAAAATGAAAAACAGCCTTAAACAATAGCTTTGACACAATGAAGCAGTTTTGTGGTTTAAAACTTCTTGCTAAAGCGGAAAATAAGGGGGCTAGGGAAAGTCCCCAACATAGGCATGCCCAGAAGGACAGCTGATGTGACCTAGAATTCACCTTTGCTTCATTGTGTGATCATTATCATACATTAGCATTATGGTTAAGGCTGTACCCATCATGCATCTGATGCCATGACTATTCCGAAAAGCCCAAACATGGTAAGAAAAGGGGCGTCACCTTAATTCCAGAAAAAAAAAACCTTCTTTCCACGAAGTGACCACCCAGAATCGTGAATATTCCACCTCTTAGTTAGATTAATGGATAAAATCCCCAAACCCACCACAGATGAGATAGCTCTCCCTTGAGCCTGACTGCTCTCCATCTGAGGGTGGATTTTCACTTGGCAGAAGTCTTTGGGACTGTCCGCTTTCGACAGCTTGCTCTCTCTTTTGAGAGTGAGCTTATTTTGTCTCCAACGCTGACTGCTCCTGGCAGCCTATTCTCCCTTTTAAAAGTATATTTTAGCTTTTAATAAAGCTAGCTTGCATACAGTTAATTTCTGAGCATCTGCCTTCAATTCTTTGTCGACTGAACACCAAGAACCGAGGTCCAGGAGTTCGAGGACTCCCCAGAACTGCAACACAATCACTCAGAACCATTCCTCTAGCAAAATCTGAACCACTGAAACCCTTCTCAGAAGACAGTTTATAACCTATCTGCCTCCTCCAACCCTGACTCACACAGAGCAAGGCACCCAACACAGAGCCTGGCACATAGCAGGTGCTCAATAAATATGCATTCTCTATTCTTTGTCCTCTTCATAAGCTCTAGGCCCTATCTTCCTGCATCCTCTCTGCCTGAGCCATCAGCCATGTCCAGATGCCCTGGCCACCTCGGCCCTGTGCTTCCACCACTCCTGCCTTAACCATACCTGACGCCTCCACCATCCACCCACCTTCGTTCCACTTCTAAGCCACTGAGTATTTCGAGGCTCTACCACAAAGTCTCTGACCCAGAGCGGGCACTCTCGTGTCTGCTCAGAAATCTTCCTGTTTATATCTAATGAACCCCTCATTCCTCTCCTACAAATACTCTAAACTTCTCCTCTCCCCAAACAAACAAAGAGGCTCATAGTTCCCCAACTTTAAACACCTTTCTCATGCCACCACCTCCACTTATGACTTTACTTCCTGACCTGTAAAGGTGATAATGACATATTCTTAAGTGACATAATTCAGGCTATGATATGTAGGGAATGATCTCACTTCTGCAGAACTGAAATTCACGCAACAGATTCACGGTTGCCTGAGGCAGGAGGTGGGGGAGCGGGGTAAATGGGTGAAGGTGGTTAAAAGCTACAAACTTTCAGTTATAAAATAAATGAGTCCTGGGGATATAATGAACAACATGGTGACTATAATTAACACTGCATTGTATATTTGAAAGTTGCTAGAGTGTAGATCTTAAAAGTGCTCATCACAAGAAAAAGACTTTTTTTGTAACTATGTAGGATGACAGATGTTAACTAGACTTACTGTGGCAATCATTTCACAATGTATACAAATATCGAACCATTATGTTGTGTACCTGAAACTAATATGTTATATGTCAATTATACCTCAATTAAAAAATTATTTAAAAAACACGCATGCATATCCACGGGAGGATATGCAAAAAGATATTAATAACAGCTCTCTAAGTGGTAGAATTATGAGTGATTCATTTTTTATTTATACTTTTCCACATATTCTACATTTCTCATAATTACTATATATTCTTTTAAATCAGAAAAACTAAAGTTGATTTTTGTTTGTCTGTTTGGTCCTCCACTACCAGGGGGAGGTGCTGTTGGGAAGACCCAGGAAAATGTACTCACAGGTGCTTCATCCCCAGGCCCCAAAACACAAAGGCTTGCTTTCAGGTAGCCTCTGGCCCCAGCAGAGAAATCGTCAGGGTCTGAGAGCAGCAGCCATTTCCTAAGATAGGCATGTCCTAAGAGAGACAACATCCACTGGTGACTACAAAATTGGCAGGACCCAAGCCTGCAACCACATCCAGGAGCTTGGGGAAGACTGCATTTGGGTGAGATGAAGGACTAGCCCACTGAGACATGGGGGCAGGGCTCAATTTCTTGAATAAAAGATACTTCAAGTGCTCATGTAGCTTTCAGTCAGAAATGTTCATAGAAACCCCTGAGAAGGCAGCTAACAACCGACCCAAGGCCATTTACCCTCTCTCAGGAAGTAACCAGAGCAAAGCAGAAACCACGGTGTGGACAAATCCTAGACTTGCAATGCAAGACCTGCCCCAATCTGAGTAACCCCAGCCTCCAGCCACCCTTGCTTCAGCCTTCCAGATCTAGTCTTCCCAACAGAGCCAGCTGAGACCCTCCTGAGGGTTTGAGCTCCCTGAGGGCCTGTTTCACCCAGAAGGTGAAAGCCTACCCTCCCTTCATCCCTGCAGTTCTCACCTCCAAAATCAAACTCCACCTCTAAATTCTAAAACCCCCCAAAAGGCAAGTGAGTGTCCCAAATGGGTGTCCCCAAGCAGCCACCAGACCCAAAGTGCAAGGATATGGCCAAAGTGATGAAAACGTCACTCACGGGGCTCTCTGTAAATGGTACCCACGTCCATCTGAAATCAAACAGAGAAAACACAAATTGAACTCTTGCCCCCAGAGTGGTACATAAAGTGTGGTCCATTATATCATACCATTAAAAATCATGTTTTGAAGGGAGAGCCCTTCTAGTTGCTAAATGGGATGCTTCCTGATTCATGAATGACTTAATAAAGCCAATTAGATCTTCAGGGCGGAGGGTGGGGAGGATCATGTTCTGAAGAATATTTGAAGACATGAGGAGATATTCATCATTTGACATTACATGGAAAGTGGAATACATTTGGACTGAAGTTTGGTAAATTATATCTGTGCATAGAAAAGAAAGAGGAAAGAAAATACAACGAAACAGTAACTATGCTGTCCCTGGGTGGTAGATCTGGGTATTTTTTATTTTTATGCTTCCTTGTACTTTATAATTTTCTATTTAAAGAAATCATAGATTAGTAGGGTGTCTATTTTGGGGGGAGGTTATGGGGGATGGGCAAGGGATATATGGGAACTCTATACTTTCACTCAATTTTGCTGTGAACATAAAACTGCTTTAAGAATTTTTTTTAAATCATAGATTACTTTTATAATTGGAAAAAATAATCATTTTTACCTTGTGGACAAAAAAGAGGGTCATGTACTAAACCTGACAAACTCAGGGGAGGCCAGCATGGTGGACTCTACAAACTCAAGAGACCAAGAGTAACCACATAGGATGGTCTGAACATAAAAATCCCTAACTGTCACGGTGGACAGTCACATCCTAGGCCTGTAGCTTCCTTGACAAGGGTCAATCTTTACCTTAAGTGGGCCCGAATATGGTCTTTGTGCACCTAAGATAACATACCCTTGGAATCAGAGTAATCTTTTCCAAACCTCTCAGGGCACAACTTCCTGCACCAGAGCACAGAACCCCTCTCTGTTATCTTGTTACCTAAATACCATCTCTATGTGCTCTAAATGTTAATTATCAATTATCCTGTACCCACCAATGTAAAAGAAGTATGTGTCTCTCCATTTCACTTTTCATCCAATCCCAGAGATTTGTTCCACTTTGCTTTCTCCCACCTTCTTAATTGACCACCACTGGATTTCAACACCTCCTCCGTTGATTCTAATGTATAAAATAAGCTGCAAAACTGCCATTTTCTTGAGCATTTTCTTAATTTGTTGAGATTTCACTTTCTGGCAATTGTCATCAGTTTGGTTCAAACAAACTCCAAAAATTCTCTACAGGTTTAGACATTTCTTACATCAACAACCTTAATTTTAGAGTTCTCAGAACAAGAATGTGTTTCAAAGATTAGAGTCTCTAAACATAATTAAGATCCCATTTGTTACAGAATGACTTAGGCTCAAGCCTATTCCTTTTAAAACTGCTTCTCTAGGAAAAAAGAGTTTTCTATCTTGTGACTCAATTCCCAGAAAGGGGATCATATTTTATTTGGAGAGTAGGGGAGGTTAATATATGCCTGTGCCCTTTCTTTCCATTTGATAAATGCTTGAAGATTCTAAAGTGAGAAAATCATTACGAATTATATTAGAACACCATTCACGAAGGTCTCCATTGCTGGTTGCTGTTACTTTATGTTACTTTATGTGGCCTGTTAAAGCCATTCTATGAGCTGAATTGTACAGTCAGTTTTCCGTTCTCTATAAGGGACTGTTCCCGTCTGCACTGTCTGGGACAAAGGAGCGGGGAAGGCTCCCCACTCTCTCCACTGCCCCCCACCCCACCGCTCACTCTACTTCTGGAGCCCACTCCCAACCCAGAGTCAGGCACAGAGTGCCAGCGTCATGCTGGCCCAAGACAGTCAGCTTAGAAGGACACTGCCTAAACTCAAACACACGGCCTTCCCAATTAAATAAGAAGCTTAACACCTGTGTTGGAAATAAAGGAAGAGATTTCCCTTCTCTCTTTCTGTCAGAACATTTACCTTTAAAACTTATAAATGCAAATACTTTCTCTGTCTCTTTGAAATGGATTTTTTTAGAAACTAAATAAGCCTTTTCATCGGCTTTATGACCCAGAAGTGTCTTTCTCAAGGCTCTCCTTGTGTCTGTGTGAAAGGAGAGGCTAACTTCAGTGCACACTTTGCTCCAAGTTATAAAACTACCTCCTCTCATAAAAATTCAAGCTTGTTTCTTGTTTTTTCCTCTGGATAAAAGTCAGTCAACTAATACAGACGTCACCTCAATTACCAAGCAAACTCAGGATGAACTATGTCTGACCATGGGGGCTGTCAAGTCCTCTTACTTGAGGACTACTTACTCTTTATCTTGAGAACACGTATGGAATGAGTTATATCTGCTTGGCTACATAAAAAGATTTCTTTTTGTCTTTACAGTCTCTCTGTGGATTGCCTGTGAAGCACACCACATTCTGGTTTAATGCTTATTCGTTAATAAAAGTGTTCTCTTTCTCTACTACCTTTGTGGAGAGGATTTCTAGGCTGGAAGAAGATTTTGTTTTGTTTTGTTTTGTTTTGTCTATTAATTATATTTCACCAACACAGACCAAGTCAGACAGGATCTCTGGAGTGCCAACCCTGGCACATTATCCACAGGGCCTCCGCTAACTCGGATAAGGGAGAAGTGACTGACTTCAAAGAAAATAAACAATTACCCGGAACTCCCCGATGAGAGCATCAGTCCTGAGAGAACGGGAATCTACCACCTGGAGGGAAAAAATAAAATAAAACTCTCATTCACAAGTAAATGTTCTCCCAGACCAGATCCAACCTGATAGCTCTTCCCTCCCCTACTCCATTCCAGAAATTGTTCTAAGCCATGTTTAATCATCACAAGAACCCTATCAGTAGGTGCTATTATTATCTTCATTTTACAGATAAAGAAACAGAGGTGAAGAGAAATTACAGAATTATAAACCCCTAAATGACAGAGGCAGAACAAGAACCCAGACAGTTTGGCTCCAGAGTCCATACGTTTAACCACTTAACTAGATTGCTTTTCGAAGGAAAGAGGCCCAGAAAAAGAAAATCTTGTCCAGAAGCAGGCACATGGACAAACAAAATAAGATGAAAATTAAAGTACCGATCGCAACAATGACCTCAGGACCCTGACCCAAGGCACCTATGGGTGCTGAGCAGCAGGGTCTCCTGACTCGGCCGCTGCCTCCATCTGAGCTGTGGAAGGCACGTCTGTGACCAGCAGAACTGTGGGGTGAGCTGTCTGTATCGCTCATACCCCGAGCCTGAAGGCTTCGGTCGCACACACACTCACACACTGACAGGCATGTGCCTGTACACTCAGCCCACAGAGAAGGCTTGGATAGCTGAGACGTACCGTGATAAAGATGGGCTCATCAAACAGCTCCGCTGGAGAGTCAAACACGTTGAAGAAAAGAGTCTGTTGGTTCAGGGCAAAAGGGAGATGAGTGAGTGACTGCTAACCCTCAGGCCAGGGAGAGGGTCAGCCACCACCCACGGCCTTTGGGTCTGGCCCACACAGACAGCGTGGAGTGAGCTCAGCCCAGCACTGAGCTTTGCGGACCTGACAGATTCTGAGACTTTCCTCCCCTGACCTCACAGAGGCTGTCATCTCAGGGATGGGGTGGGTGGCTGGCTCTACAGAATGACGAGGATGTGGAGTAGTAGGAGCCCAAGGCAGGAATAAGAGCTAGGACCCTCTCTCCACTACTTCAGATAGCCACTCAGGACCTGGCGAATCTCTCGAACCCAAGTAAGCACCACATGTAAAAACCGAGTGAATGGCCAGGCTCTGCCGTGTGCTCCTAATTCGGAAGGCCCACCCAGGTCCTGGTCCCGATACCCAGTGTTTCCCACCTCGTTGAAGAGTGGGCTGTTTCCTTTGTGGATCCGCGTCCGTTTGGTCTGCCCGGCAGCAGTGACCTTGACCACAGGCTTGATGTTTACTCCAGGCAGCTGGCGCCCTTCAATCACCTGGACCCTGATCTGAAAGCCAGGAGGGCACATGAGCAGAAGGAAGGGGGAAGTGGGCCATCCTCCGCTCCGGCCACCACCCCAAGAGACCATCCTCACTGCTGGCTTCTTGGGAACAGTATTAAAAAGATTTAGAAGAGCATTTTAGAAACAATCGTATTTTCCTGCCAATGTCCCTTACACCTATAAAATCCCATCGTTCCACAGAAGAGCCGCCAGGCTACCCCCAGGTAAGCTACCAGCATTAAATCCCAGGGTTGGGCCAAGGATCCAGCCCCCTGTTCACTTCACTCAGCCACTGGCACCTCAGGCCCTTTGACGCCAACATTTTTAAGCAGCTTGAACATTCTTCACTGACAATTCCTTCGGAGGTCAAACTTAAATAGTGAAGTGATCCTTCTTTATCCTTTATAAAATGCAATCCTGTCTACAGCCATGCTACCCTGAACACACCTGATCCCTTCTGATCTCGGAAGCTAAGTAGGGTCGGGCCTGGTTAGTACTTGGATGGGAGACCACCTAGGAAGACCAGGTGCTGTAGGCGTAAAAAAAAAAAACAACAAAAAACAGATGCAATGCTGTCTTACATTCTGAGAAACAAATTAAGAGTCTTCTCCACTGAACTACAAGTAAATGAAGGTTTCAAGAATATCTGTACTTCTGAATTTAGGCAAAATATTTAAAAATATGAAAATTTGAAATATGATAACAATTTTTGTAGAAAAATAATATTTACTGGTTCTAATTTCTAAACAGCAGTTATTTATTGGCCAACTCTTTTTTTAGAAATAGCATACTATAGAAGAATATATTATTAATCACAATGGGAAAGTAAGTGATTTATCCAAATGTTCTACAATAAACATATATTGATTTTCCAAGGATAAAAAAAGTAATAATAATAATATAATATGTTAGAATTTTGTCTTTCAGGGAAACATAGTGGTTATAGCTAGGACTTTGGCTTAAAATACCATGACTTAGAACTAAAATATATTTTTACAATTTATTGCACTTAATAAAGATTCAAGTTTCCTATTTATAACTTTAAAAGTAGTTCTAAAGAGTTAAATATCACTAAATGCAACTATATCAAAAGGAAAATTTTTGTGCCAAAGAAAAAGAAAAAGCAAAGGACCAAAATTAAAAGGCAAATAAAATGAGATGAGCTTTTGGATAAAAATATGTCAAAGGGTTAGTATTAGTTTTATTCTCTGAAGAGATTGAACAAATTCAAATTTCACATAACTGTCAGAAAAATCCATGGCAATAAGGAAGGGCATGGACATAGAGAGGAAAAAAAGCTAGACAGAGCTTCTTAGATCAGGGGATCTTGTTAAAATGCAGATCCTGATTCATCAGGTCTGGGGTTCTGCGTTTCTAACAAGCTTCCAGGTGATGCTCACACGGCTGGTCCAAGGACCACACCTCGACCAGCAGGAAGTAGCTAGCCAGAGAAACTCTGGCTGGGAAACAGATAATAGATGTAAAGCTATGCTGAACCTCTGCAGTGGCCCCTCTTTTTTCAAGGGCAAAACGAGAGGCTGGGCGGAGGCTTGTTCTGAGGTTCCAAAATGTGAACTGCCCATTAGGCATCTGTGCAGGTCCCAGGGAAACCAGACTCCCACCTAGGAGAGGCTCGAGCGTCTTCCCTGAGGCTGGACAGACAGGCAGGCACTTGGCACTATGGCACTAACAGCTGCTGACCCACAAAAGGAGGAGACTGTGGTCAGAGTTGGCCGTCACCTGGAAGTCCTGTGGCTTGTCCGACAGCAGCTTTCTAGGCGTGGGTGTGCTTCTCTTCCTTTTACTCCCAGGGTGGTACGGGGGAGGATGGGAAGGTGGCTTCTTTGGGGTGGTGGGAGCACCCGGGCCTGCGACACCACTCTGGTCCAAGAATGGCTCTGACTCATCTCCCGTGAGCCCTTGCTCCTCGGCATCCTCCTCTCCTCCGGTGTCTGGGAGGAAAGGGTGCTAATGAGGTCTGGGTCCCTCTGGCCCTGCCCTTGGGACCCAGCCCAGCCCATGGAGTATCCAAAGGGCATGAGCATCAAGACCCACCACACACCTCCCTGCCCCTCTCCTTCCCTCATCGATGAGAAAGGGTGGATGAGGAAGAAAGAAGAGAAGCTTCCAACAGCTAAAATTGGGGGCAGTCAGTCCAGTTAGTCAACAGGAAGGAAGCAATGGCCCCAGCCCTCCCCACCATGTCCTGCAGGGGGAGCCCCTCTGGCCACCTCGTCCCACTCTTGTGAGCTGACGATGGCGGAGATGAAATGGTTACGGGTGGCAGGATTAAGATCAGGACAGCCCTGGCTGTGTCTCACCCACGGGGGCCAGCCACTTCTTTCCAGAGTGTCTCGTGTCCACGGTGCTGTCACTGAGCAGGGACCAAGTCTCGGCCCGGCTCTGTCCCCCACCTAGCACGTGGGCAGGGCACAGCCCCAGGAGGGGAGGAGGGAGCTGGGTGAGGAAAGCCAGCTAGCGCACCCCCACTCAGTGCTGCTCTCCTCACCCATCCCAGCCTAACACAAAGCTCAGGAACAATTGCCATGTCTGTCAGGAACTGTCTCTTTCAACACCTTCCAGGCAAGACTGGGAATTTGTCACTTCTAGGAGCCTCCCCTGAGTGGCACAAACCTAATTCTGTCAGATCCACCTCAAAAGTTGTCACAGAACATTCCGGGTCCTCCACACTCCCTGCCCTGTGCCACCAGAAGCACCTCTTCTCCCCACCTCGACCTATACTCCAGTCCAGAGTGATCTCCCTATCCCCAAGTTCTGAGAGTGCCGAGCCCCAAGAAGATGGACCTTGCTCTGCCTCCCTCACCAAGAGTCCCACACAGGGCTAGGCTCCAGAACAGGCCTAGAACATTGTCTCATAAGACAGAGGCTGCTCTGATTTCATACTGTGTTTGCCTCTAGGTCACTTCACCATGAGACAATTA